CAGAGCATCTTGAAGATATCTGAGCAGTGCAAAGTATTGATCGTGTCTCTACCTGATAATATTCTTATTCACTGTATATATAGTATTGCTGTGCTCACGGTTTGGGGGTTTCATTGGTTTTTAAAGAAATGCAGTATTGGTGTATGAAAGCAGAAGATAACATTATATTTGTGCCTCGTGGCCATCTTTAGGCACAGGAGATGGTTAGAATGACCGTAATAAATTATTGTCATATACAGAATCTGGTTTGCTAAATTATAGGTAATAAGCATTTGCTTATTTCATTCTATTTTGTATATGCTAACGCTGCACTTGGAATGCGTGGAGCATTTAAAGATAACCTCTTGCTGTAATATCTTTTTCCTGTGGGCTAATAAATCGAGACAATACTGCTTTTAGTAGGTCTACTGAGGAATGAGCATATTCAAAGCATAGCTTATGACTCAGCTAGGTCTTTACACGTGCATTATTTAGTCTTAAATCTCACAGACGTTGTTACTGCTTTTGAAGTGAGGGAGGAAAAGTTAAACACTACACTATTTAATGCTACTTCTATTTAAGGATTTTCAGATGTAAGAGAAAAGAAATTGGGTTTCATGTCTTACTTTCCTGCACTTACAAACTTTTACGATTACTTGGCATTCATCAGGAGGAAAGTAGATGGCAGGTATGTTCTTGGAGTATTCTAATTATTGCTATTTCAGGTGGAAGAGAGACTCTAACTGGACACGGGAGACTTTTAGGACGGTAAATTTGCTTAAAAACCATTTTAATGTCTTCTGGGGGGATGGAAGCAGGGAATGACCACGTGGTAATTTTTGCTTGTTTGTTTTTTAGGAGGTGGGGAATTAGTAGATTTTAAATCTAAACGTTGAAAGTTTTTTTTGGTTGATATGAGCAATGTCCTTTGTTTTCATTACTATTTTCCTCATAAAACCAGAGAAACAAGTCAGTGGAATGCCAGAACACATTTATATCCATTTTCTGACTTGTATTTCCTTGGAGGACAGATGGAAGAGAGTGTTGGGGAGTGAAAGGCATGAGTTTACACCCGTGTGTATACATGTACCTACCTACACATGTGTTCGTGCGCTGGCACAGTTCCAAGTTTATTTGCTTTTTCCTTTTAGCAGTTGCCTCTTTCTTTAACCTGAGCTGTCACAGCACTGCTAAGTGCTGATGTGAAGAGGAATGCAGGCTTAGATGAGTGCTCTGTCCCAGTGCTCACAACAGTGCCATTGTATTCACGAATTTCTGTCTTGTCTGTAGATTTCTGGGTAATCTGGTGTGTAGGCCCCCACACTTACAAACCGGGAGTCATTTTTAATCTACTGGGGAAAACAGGAGATGATCAAGGATGTTTGTGAAGTGATGTCTTGTCAGGGAACATTCCTGGCTTGTTAACTGCTAGGAACAGCTTAGGGTTTTTTTGTTTACTTTTAGAAAGCAAAGTATAGCACTACGTTTGGTTGAGTAAAGTAACGAATCCAAAGAAAACTCTCCAAACTTTGCCAGATGCAGTAAAACCAGGCACAGTTTAGTTTTGCTGGTTTAAATCACACCAAGTAAGAAAATACGTATTGTGGTTTAGCCTGTTTAAACTTTATATTGTGATACTGGCACTGATAAATTGGTTTACAGTATTCTGGTTACAAATGGTAAATGCCCCAAATTCACGTTCCCTAGTCCTGCTAGGCTTTCCCTATTATCTCTTGAGATCCAGCATCCTGTTCTTTGGCTGAGATAAAATGATTCTAGATGAGTGTTTGGACCATCTGCTGTGTTTATTGAAGTAAATTGACTTAAAAAAGAATTAATTGTGTAGCAAAGTACTTTTGTTTCTTTGTAGGTTGAATGCTTTCTCCTTGAAACTTCTTAACAGTTAAATTAGCATGTAGGATGCCGGGCAGACCTTTAGCTGAATATATCTAATATGCATTGAAATAGTTTCATACTTTGTTATCTCAGTTTCAGTTATGACTGCAGAACAAGGAGAACCTTTATATTTACAGAATGGGAAGAGCCCAGTTTAAAGGAGAAAATGGTGCTTTAATTTTACTTGTTCTAGCCATTGATTTATTTTTTTCTGCAGAAACAGATAGTTCATAATAGATGGATATTTGTATCCTTGCTGTTAAATACAGACCTGTTTTTGTTAATTTTGAAGGAATGTGGCTCAGCCTGGCGTGTAGCTAAAAAAGCATGCTACAGGCTTCTGCATGTGAACCTGGTGGCTATTTTGGGTCTTGGTTCTAGTTTTTGAACACTTGTCTGAGCTTTGTGCCACAAGGCAACTGATATAGTCCATGGTCACCACAGTATAAAACCACTTTTATATACTTATGTATTGCTTGAATCCTGAATCCTGAGCTTCTTCATGTGAAGCAATGTTACCGCAGGTAACTTCTTTTGTGGTTTATCAAACGCTTAAACAACATTCATTATACAAAGTTTTAATGTTCTCGTTGAAGAAAAACTTGTTTGCTGATTTTGATTGAAAGCCACGCTTGAAAATTCTTCTGTTGTAGCAGAAACTGCCTCAAAATATTTTCCCAACTAATTAAAAAAAATTTGTTCATGGCATTTATTTTTTAATGCTTTTTCTCCCTTAATATTCCATAGTGAAAGATGTCGAACTAATTAGGCATTAAAAGAACGAGTGGTTAGCAGGTATAATGTTGTTAGACTTCAGTTAATGTGAATGTGACCATGACCTCCCAGATAGATCAAAGACTAATCTGTCTGACAGCTACAAGATGGCAGAGCTTGCCACAGGCCTTCTGCTGCTGCTTGCTGAAGCTATTTGTCTGTAAAGCATGCCTGATAGCTAAGAGTATATTTTTAAGGATGAACAGGTAAAAGTAAAAGGCTGTCTTTTGACATTTTAACTAATCCCTTCTAGCCCGTGGTTTACTGCACATTTAGGATATTTGCTAGCAGGAGGGACTGGCTTTTTCACATATGCAACATGTCATTTTGAATTGGGCGTTGATTTGATGCTTGATAATGTAAGAGTTATACAATGAAATAGATTCTGATTGCATTAAAATGACATGCCCTGGCCTTTTACTTTTAGAAGACTTACAATGAAAACTGAACTCTCAGCAATGTAACTTGTCATCTCATGCTGAGACATGATCATTTAAGTGAGAAAACAGAATGTTTATTTTCTGTTAACCCTTTTGTAATTAAGGTAGAAAAGACAGGGTTTAATGACACGTTACACAATTAGAGTGTGGATTTCTGTATGATTTGAGAAATGAAATGTTGCTGATGTGCAGTACAAGCAGTACGTGTTTAAGTTACCATGTATGAAAAGAATGTAAAACTAATGTGTTTTATTCACATTACATTTTAACAGGGTAATGCAGGATAGAGCAGGTGATACTACTGGTTTGCCAGCTTCTGTTACTTCAGTGGTTTTATGCACATAATGAAAAATGTCAGTTTTATCTGTGTAAGACAGATGAGTAGGAATTCTGTTTGGAAGTGCTTGCTAGGAAGATAAGAAACTGTGGTAATGCTGCATTTGTTACAATTGGCCAAAGCTAACAGAAAATCTTCAAAAGAAGAAGTTGTTAGAAAATTGACCAGGACTAGAAGACAAATGCAAAGAATGTACAGGTGTCTATTGTCATTGGTTATGTTTTAAAGGCTTCAAGGAAATTTCCGACATCATACCTCCTTTCAGATGGTGCCGAGTACCTTTTTGTTTCTCCAGATAGGCTTTCCATTTGTAGAAATGCACAGATGTGCTTAAGTTCCTTTTTAAGGAATGATTTTAATGTTCATAAAATGTTTGAAAGAAATCATCTTCCGTTTTGAAAACTGCAAAGGAAACCTCACTTGCCAGTCAATAAATTCTGAGTGACTGGAACAAATATTAAATCTGTGAAATCAAACTGAATTTACTTTCTGGCTGTAAAGATTGAATTTAGAAATTTGACAGGCAATTTAAAGGGCATAAGTACATGAAATAAAATTTCTTATCCAAACACAACTTGAAAGTTACCTGTCAGAAGAGGTTAGAAGTCTGCTGTTTTCTCTCCTGAAGCGTGTCCTTTCACTTGTCATTTTAGAAAGGTTAATACTGTACAAAAGAGCAAAGGAAAAATCCTTTTCGGCGTAGTTTTATGTTTGTTTATTTAAAAAAATAATAAAATTCATTTCCCCCCTCCCAGAAATAAGTCATTCTGATATATGTTGGAACTGTGTATAATGTCCCAATACAAATTCTTGTTCAGATGCAGATCAGGCATTGTATGTGTAGTTCTCCATATGATTAGAAAGGGGAGGCTGGGGATTTCTTTTGCAGTTGATACCAGATCTGCTTTTGAAGCAGGTAGGAGAGCATTCTCAGAACAGGAGGAGTGTGCTCTGTTCTGCCATATGCTGGCCCATGGGCCTGCAAACCTTAGCTGCTGCCTTCGCTTCACAATTAGCCAGGGAAATGTTTGTTTCCAAAGTGCAGAAGGTGATGCTAAGCTAGGAATTAGAGGTGGTGTTGCTGATGTCTGGTGTTTTGGCGAGGCCACTCTGTCTCTGAAGTACTCTCTTAGCTTTTGTAGAAGAAGGGGTTATATTTGCTTAACCCTCACTTGAGGAAAGTCTGGTCTGGTACCATCAATAGATTAGGAGTCAGAGTTTGTGATAAAGGATAAAGATCTCCATTATATAATTTGCTTCCAGATAAGCAAATGCGACTGTGGTCTAGTATCTGGGTTTTCTGCCTGTGTGAAAGCTTATCCTCCTCTTGCTAGCAGAGATTTGGATAAGTGTGCGGTTGTTGTGTTATTCCATATAAATTACTGGAATAGATCACGTGTTAAGAATAACTTTAGGAGGGTAAACCCCGTAATTTTATGCAAGATACAAAGTTGAACACTGAAGCACGCTTTACATACTCACTTATTTAATGCATGTTTGCTTCTTTCCCCCTTTCAGAATATTTCCTTTTCAACATCATTGTTAAAAATGATATTTCATTATTTCTTTCTCAGGTTGAATTAAAGAGGAAATACAATGACCAGCACAAAAATACAAGAGGCCTTTTACCAGGGAGTCAGTGGTATGAAATTCAAGCTTATAGGGCTCTGAACCAAGCCCTGGGAAGGTGAGATAAGCTGAACATAAAAATTTTTTTCTACAAATATATATATTTTTAATTACAGCACCTTTAGGGATGAATTCCTCACTGTTAACACGAACAGGACAGATTGGGCCAAAATATTCATGTTGTGAAAATCAAGTCTTCAGCTGTTCTATACTGGCAGTTGTCTGGTTTTCAGGTCGTTGTGAATTTTAACATTGTTATAATCCAGAGTATTTGTTTTGTTTTACATCCAGAATCCACCATCTTTTGGTTACAGATTTTATTGTAATCCAGATATACAGAAATGAAAGCATTTGTAGAGATAAATAGTTCTTGAGCTTATAAACTAAATTAAAGTTCTTAGGTATTTTTAAATATACTGATTGTTCACACTCCTGGTGGGCTCAGAGCACTTGTTTGATGTTTAGCCTACAAGTATTTTTGAAAGGGAGAAGTAGTGGGGGTTTTCTCAGACCCTTGCTAAAGGTCAATTCAATTATCATGCTCACTGATCTCTTTCCTGGTTTAGAAGAAGTATAGCTTGCTTTCTCAAATGAAAACGTCTCCCCCCACCTACCCCCAGTCTTATTAACAGGAGAGAATTAATTCATCCTTCTCTAACAAAATTTAACATATACATGGATACCCATAGCTGTCTGTCATCCATACTGGCATAGATGCCATGCTTCTGTCAGAGATATATATAGGTACAGACACAGATTTATGTATAAAGAGAAGCATCAGCTGGAAGACTCTTGTGATTTGAATTAGACGTTATTCAAACGTAATGACGTAAGTGAAGGCTTAGAAAAAGAATTGAGAGCAATATTCTACACTAGTAAAATCTCACTGTAATTTCTTTCTGTTACAGGTCTGATTTCTTAGATTCCTCTTTGGAGAGTAAGAGCATTAGTTAAAATTTGTTAACAAAAATCTAAGGATGTTGTGGAATGCTAATAGCAAGAAGTTGAAGTTTTGTCACTGTGAAATAAGTTTTAACTTAAATCTAGTTTAGTAAAAATTGCTTATAGTATAATTTATAATTTGAATTAAATCATGCTAGGCTAAACTTAAATAGACTTCCATTCTGACATAAATATATAAACTGTGTATAACACTCTTATACTAAGCTCTTTCTAAACTGAGGTATGGCAAAGGATGACAATGTATGATAACCATTTTCATAAAACTGGAACAATTTACTAAGCTGAGATGGAGTTAATCAGTAGATGGGGAAGCTTCTTACTGTAAAGATGCCTGCCGGGAGAGAAGTGAGCAAAAGCATGATAGTCTTCAGTCTGTCACTTTTCTCTTAATTTAGTGCTGGTACATGATATGAAGTAACACCAGTCCATGAAATGAAATAGCAGCCTCTGGGAATAGAACAGATGGTGTGTATGGCCAGGTGACAATCATGCTATGAATTCCTTGCAGTTCGACTTTTTCCAAAAGTGTGGGATATATCTCCAGTGGGCATAATTCATTTAAACTATGCATTAAAAGACCATATATTAAAGCAATGAAAAAAAAAAGAAGTTGGAAGAAATCTGTTTTTTAAAGATGCTTTGGTAGCTTTTCAAATATAAATACATAATACTTCTTTGGAGAGCTAGCCTTGTCGCTCCTATTTTAAGACCTAACTCTGATACTCCTGGGTTTATGTACATTTGTGAACATCATCTTCACGTTTGTCCTCTTCTTATACAATGGAGATAAAAAAACTGAACTGTTACTGACAGATTCTTTTCCATATTTCATTTGTTATCACTGTTCTTTAATAATTTTTTTTTTTTTTTTGGCAGGCAGTGTAGAAATCCAAATAATGTTAAAAAGAGTATCAGTGTGTGTGAAATGACTGCTGGAGTAGTTCTGTAGGCCTCTAACAAGTGAATTATGAACTCAGCAGTATCGCTCACAGCTTTGATCTGTAGCATTATTCCTTTTATTCCTAAAGAGAGTTAGGAATAATGTGGTTTAGAAACAAAAAAATGCATAGTTACTTAACTGCTTGCAGTTACATCAATCTATTTTCTTTCATACTTTTATAAGTTCTACCTTCATTTTTTATGCAACCCAGCTAAGAGTGGAAAACAAAAGATGTGGTTTGATTACCAGCTGAGTATTTGCTGGGGGGTATTTTCTTTTTCTAATGTACCTGTTTTCATATAGTAAATTGAGGAGCTGAAGGAAAACTAAGCTTCTGTGACTTCTGTAGCAATTTTGGTGCAAGACAGCAGGAAAGCACTTCCAGTATATTTTTATATATTCTAGCTGACTCACTGCAGTCCCTGCAGCTTTTAACAAATGTGCTGTAATTATATCTACACTTTTTTTTGTTGCTCACTTCTAGGTGTATAAGACATAGGAATGACTGGGGTGCTCTTGTTTTAGTTGATGACCGCTTCCGGAATAACCCTAATAAATACATAACTGGTAAGCTGTAAACATCTTTGTAGGAAAGTTCCTAGTATTAACAAATAGTGAAAAATCCAGATTACAGAAATATGGTTATAGAAATACAGGTGAGTAGGAGAAGTCAAAAAGAAATAGGTCCATTGAATACAAAATTGTGCAGTTGAAGCTGAAAACTCTAAACCTGTATCTTGGTGTTTGCTAGTTCATTAAACCCACTGAAGCATGTTGATAGCAGCATTCAGTTGATCTAATTTCTTTCCCCTTTTGGATATACAGATGATGATATAAAGGATTTAAGAATTCATTCTTAAAATGGGACCTATAAAAACACTTAAGGAGTCTCAGTCTTTGCATACTAAATTTATATAATGTAGGTATACATATGTATGTGTGCATGTATGTATATGTATGTATTAAAAAAATAGTTACTACATTTTTATTTGGACATTGGATCAGTATCCAGTGGAGCTGGATATATATTTCTGGGTATATATGTCTATATTTCTGCCTATAGGGAGCTTTCATGATCAGGGTTAGCAGTCTGAATTTGGCATTCTGGCTTTTTCGGTAAGAATAGATAAAGGTTGTGCCATTTGGAACCACCAAATGCTCAATACAGAAAAAGCATTTTCTGTTTGTAGTTTTATATTGGCTAGAAATAAAGGCAGATAAAATAAAACAGGTCATTCACACTGCCTGAATAAAGAAATAATAATACAAAGAATTGCATAAGGATGCATTATGTATCTTCTTGCCCTTTTTTGAAGAGATAGGCAGAAAGATGATGTAAACAGATAATGTTGCAGTCTAGTCAGCAGGTGGAGCTCAGCTGCTGTAGTACAAGTCAAACTGCTTTTCTGACGTCTAAAAATACTTTGCCAAGTACAGAACTCGTAATACAAATAATCTAGATGTTCAAGCCTCAGTAAGGTTAGTGCTTTAGTACTTTTTGTAAGAAGTAAAACTTCACAGAAGCATCAAGTTCTCTCTTGGATTTGTTTTTTGTTGTGTGAGGTAATTGCTATTAAAAGAATATTTAAATAGGTTTAAAAACTCTTAATAAAATCATGGAAGTTACTTTTTACTTCACTCTTGTGTGTGCCAGCACCACCTAAACAGTTATATTTGAGACATCTGGTATTTGAGATTTTTTTGTTATGTAAGAATATATTGTATAATGTATCAGCAGTGTGATTCTTTCCAAATGCCCAAGTTACTGTTCTTTCACCTGAAATAAAGGTGTAAATGCTCCATTGTATTCTAATTTTTGTCAGACCCCATCAGGATGATAATAAATAGCTGTGCTCTATGTAAGTTGCTTTTTAATAATGCATGATAGCAAACAAAATTAACATCCAGGAAAAGCAGAATATAATGAAGTTTTTGCAATGCAGCAGTTTGAACTTAAAGTATTGGTGAAAAAGGTAAAGTTTTTTTAATAAAAAAGAATGATATTATTAGTATTACCCATCAAAATACTACCATTGATTAAATCAAATTCCCAGCCCTGGAAAGGAAGACATACATTATAGAATCAGAGAATCGTTAGGGTTGGAAAGGACTTTAAGATCATCCAGTTCCAACCCCCCTGCCATGGGCAGGGACACCTCACACTAAACCATGCCACCCAAGGCTTTGTCCAACCATGAGCAACTTAGTGAAATCTATGAATGTGTCTGTACATATGTAAGAAGTATTTGCAATGTTAGGGTTCTGAGATGAAATACCTGGTTCAGGTGATGTAGTTTTGTAGTAACCATTTATTTTTTTATTTTCTTAGGATTATCTAAATGGATTCGTCAACAAATCCAGCACCATGAAAATTTTAGTAGTGCACTTGAATCCTTGCGTGCATTTGCTGTAAGGAATCAGAAAAGCACTGATGGTTCACCAGCATGCAGCGGTGAATCTCTCTGTGTACCTTCAAATTCAAAAGACCTGTCTCAGTCCTCTCAGCAGGAGGTTCCAAGTGTTCCTGCAAAAAGCGAGGAGCAAAACTTGGTTTCAGAAATTAATTTTGCTACAACCATCAGCTCACTTAGTCCTACAGCATGGGATCAGCCAAGTAACAGCGTGGCAACATTGAAACAAAGTATGTTCATTTCCTATGGAAAAAAGCTCATTCACTATTTGAAATGTGAAGTTACATCGTTTTAATTTTGGAAGAAACTAATGTTTTTTGAAATTACAGAATGTTACGGTGCAAAATGATAAGTATTCACAAATGTATATTAGCTGTGCTCAACAGGCTGAAATTAATTGTCATTCCATCTGGTTGTCTTAAAACAGTTGATAATGTTTGATAGATTTATAGTACGCTCAAAAATGTTTTCACTTAAGTTTCTTTTCCCATTGAAAACTATTAAGATAATTTCAAATCTATTTAAAACTAAAATATATTTAAACCACAGAGATTAGCATTATTGTAAGGTAAGTGCCTTGGTTCAATCTACATCAGTTGTTTAGACATTGCTGTGAGGCACCTTTCATATAATCTCTTCTGGTACCAGCTTTACAAGTAAGTATCTGTTCATTCCTAAATTTTAGGAAAGCTTATGACTCATTCCAGGCAAGAAAGAATAACATAAATTCTGTTAAATAACAGAAGAGCACAATAATAAAAGAAAAATTACAAATTTAAAATCCAATCATACTTTAGCTTTACATACTCCAGTTAATCTATTGATTTAGTCATGGTAATTCATGTGCAGAGATAGTTGTAACAATCCGGGCTTTTGTTTGTATTGGATCTTAATGAGTATTTATAAACTGTAAACAGTGGCAATTTCAATGTGCTAAATATGCTGTAAATCAGCAGGGGAAGGCATATACAATTAATTAATATTTTGTGATTTTCACAGGTGGCCAGAAAATTGACATTGAGAGTCATTCTCACCATGGAACATCAAGAGCAAAACATATGGACTGCACACCCCAAATGCCAGCAAATAAAACTGAGAGAGAAGAAAAGGGTTGGACTAATGCTGATATTATGAAAGAACATTGCTGCTTTAAACCACTGACTTCAACACCTTTGCCTGTAGCTAAGAACTGTGTGTCCACAGCTACTAGCAAACACAAGAATGTGGGAAGGGCTAGTGAAGTTATTGATGGTGTAAATCAGTGCCAGCCCTCCTTAGTTTCAGAACGTGAACCAACTGTATCAGAATCATGTTTGGAAACAACTGATTTTTCAATTAAAAATGCTGAGCCTCCACTTGCTGAAGAGCACCCTGATGAGCTACAGCTTCAAGTTGGGCCCTGCAGTGAGCTTCCTTCAGCAGGAGAGAAATCTGAACTTTCAGTGTTAAACGTAGCTGCAGAAGCTGAAGATGAGGATGACAGCATCTATTTCACACCAGAACTTTATGATGATGATGAGGTAGAATCTGAGGAACAGAGTATCAGACCACTGGTTCCAACCTGTAATACAAGTGAGAATCGGATTGAATGTGGCAGCTCTGCAGTCACTGATGATCTTTTTGCAATCAACACCTCAGAAACACTAAGTGTGACTAAGAAAATGGTTGATGATAATGCTGGCAGAAGCACAAGTTTACATGGAATAATGCAAAATGAGGAGAACGCGAATAGTGCAGTTAATAATGTAGAGATGAGTAGTGAGATAGAAGCAAAGCAGATAGGACCTCAAGAGATGGACACCAAAAAGCAGAAAATCAGTCTTTCCAGATCACGAAATAAAGGTGTGTCATCTTTTCCACTGAACAGTCCCAGCACATAGTGACAGCTGCTGTAGGAAACTTAGTGAGCAGCCTTTACAATGTGGCCTCACTATAGAGCTGTGATGGGTTTCTAGTGCTCCTTTCATATGTGCTATTCTCAGACTCAGTTTTTGATTATACGTTTTCCTTTTTCACTGTGAAAGTTATGCAGAATGCAGATCTCTATAAATATAATTAAGATACTCCATCCTAACTGTGTGGCAAAAGGGTATCGTGTGTGGAAATTCGAAATAGAAGCCCAAGTAGCATTTGACTTGTAATTATAGGCTAAAGAGGTTTGTCTATTACAGGTTTAATTAATCCCCCATTAAAGACAATCAAACAATTAGGGTTTCTCCAAAAGCACCCATATAATCAAATTATGGGTTTCTGCATTTCTTAGGGCTTTTTTCTTTCTTCAATAAGAAGAACAAGGTCTTTGCTGATCAAGTAATATGATAGGCTGAGCCTAAATATTGAAATAGATGTAGTCTTCGGTGCTGTGTTTCCCTCAATTTTCTTTTGCCAAAATGTCTGAGAAGCTGTGTAGTAGTAGCAGCAGTATCTGAACATTCCAATCTGATGATGGGGAGAGGCTCCTTTAGAGGTCTTTGTTTTGTTTCAAAAGTTTAGGTTTCTTTCAGAATTTGCTCTTAGGAGATCTAATTTCTTTTGGTCAAATTATGTATTTGAATCAAAACGTGTACTTATTTGTATGTCCTACAGATATGCAATATATACCAATGTAAATGTGTACATAAAGGTCTTTAAATATTCCTCAGTTTATTTTTTTTATTTTAAGTATTTTACATATTTCTTTCATTTATTGCAATCAAACTAGCCACGATTTTGCTGTAATAAAACACACTACACCTGATTTTTCAATAAAGGGTTGTTCATTTCCATCCTATATTGGATTTTTACTGTCTTAAGTTTGGTTCATAGGTATTCATGTATTCTGACCAATTGTTAACTGGTCATTTTCAGTAGTTCATCTAAATAATGTTCTGAGCCACAGCTGTGCACGTGTTTCTTTCAATAGGATTTAAGTAGTGTCCTTTCTTTACATAATAAGTGCATCTTTATAAAATTAGACACTCTGCAAGAACAACAGGAATACTGTTGAATTTCTTTAACAAGCATTATTTTGCAATACTTAGTATAAGGCATTGGGTTAAGCTTTTTATTAGATTGAATCCACATAAGGACCATATTCCCTTGATTTAGGTTTCCTGGTATTCATATAATCATTGGATGCTGATGGTTTAGAACTAGTTGATAGGGCAGAAGCGAGCCCTAATGTTGAGAGCACTTTAAACATATGACATATCTAAAGATAAAAATACTTAATTTAGATCTAAGTAATCGATTAAATATCAAGACTCAGTAGGGTGGACACAGTTCTGTTTGTAACTGGCTCTGGACTGAAATTGTCTCATATCCCACAGCAAATGCTGAGGCAGCCTGTGGCAGGTGGCTTTGCTGATCAACTTGATCCTCCTGAGTCTCTAATAGCTTGGTTTTCTTAAAACAAGTCTTCTATTCCAAACCACTTTTTATGTTTATGTATATCTAAATAGATAGTAGAAATCACTTAAGCTTTGTGGCTTGTCTGCTCATCTCATAGACCACTGCCTCTTACTTATCCTTCAGAAGATTTGTCTGTCTTTACATCTGTAACATTAAAAAAAAGAAAATCCATCTTCCTTTCCTTATCTGGAGCAGATTGTTCCTTTCTTGATCTTATGTTGCATCTTACTTTGATTAGAAATCCTTTAAGACATGGCCTTCTTCAAGCCAAATACTTTGCCTTTATTTATCTGCATGTTATATAAAATTATTCCTTTACCATTATTTTTAAAAGCATGTATTGACCTATCAGTATTTGGCCTACTAGATAACTAGATTTTTCTAGTATTTTACGAGATACTAGATTTTCCAGAAGTTCACTAAACTCAAATCCTGACCATACCAGTCTTGCTTCAGACAACTGATGGATAATAGTCTTTGTCTTACTGCTGGGTATTGGGGTGATGAGGGGTGGACAGTTTCTTTTGGTGTAAAGGCTGTGTATATTCAGTTTTAGCTTGTCTTTATGTCTAACTATGGTATTTAATATGTTGGTGGTAAGAATGTCCTTTATTTCTATAGTTAATATTTTTATGGTGATTCCCAGTATCAAATTAGACTGCCAGCCTGCAAATAGAGGGGAAGTCAGTGTACCAACTTTCCTAGAACAATTTGTTTGGAATTCCCAAATCTATAAAAGCTAAATTCTTGACAGTTCCTGTCATACTGTGATATTATACCTATGTGTGATCTCCTCTGTCTAAAATAATCATAAAATCTTGGATTTATTAAAGGATTGAAAGTTCAGAGGCAACGCAGAGGAAGAAAAGCTGCAGTTAGGCACAGTTGCTACACCTGTGAAAGAAAGGTACCATGCAGATAGAATACAGTACCATTTTAAGTGGCTGCTGTTGAATGTTAAGGTGCAAGGGAAATAAGAATAATTTATTATGTAATCTTTTAAGTGAAATAATACAGATGAAATAGTTTATTCATGGTCTGTGTGGTTTGCTCTAGATCTTTATGATTTACATCCTCAATAGATACCTTTGTTTCTCATGGGAAACAAAAAGGCTGAGTGTTTTCAAGTCCTGTTAGCACAGGTAGAAAACACAGATATGGATTGCCTGCAGAGTCCAGCTCCTAACTCATCACAGATGTGATTCCCCTTTCAATATAAGCAGTGCTTCTGATTTCTGGTTAGTATGTAACTTATAGGGCAGGATTTGCAAAGTGTAAGGACATAATCACACTGCAACTCCAGGAGGGTTGGGCACCTATCACCTTAGCCTCCTTTGCAAAATTCCAAACTAAATCTTTGATAGCCTGGAGCTTTATAGACTATAAAATGGCTCATATTTTATACAGAAGTATGTCTAGTTGTTAGGTTAAGTGTTTTTAGCATGGTGGGTATTTTAATTATTTGCTAATATAAATATTGATTCAAATAGATTTATTGGGGTATTTCAAGTAGTATATTTCTTTGAGGCAGTTTTGATACATTTCTTTGTGTTTATGTTGAAGTGCTTCAATCTGCATAGTTACTCTATGCAAACTAGTATTTGTGTGAATTTGTATATTGTCTTGTTAGAAAGAAACACCTCACCAGCCTTGCAAGAAAGGACTTTATTGTATTGTCTGCGGAGCTGAAATACTGCCAAAAGCAGAGGGTAAGATCTCTCTAACTGATCGTTTGGATTTTTAATCCGTCTTTTTACTTTTGCACTTTTGATACTGGAAGGAAATTTTAGAATAATTGTTGAATTTCTCCAGTGGATGTGGGAACTGGATCAATGAGGTATTAGAAATGCCTTGGAGACTTGCAGAAGATCTTTGCGGGGGAAAAAGAGGGACTAGTCACAATATCACAACTACTTTTCCTTGACATTTCAATGGAAATAAGTTACTGTTACTGATTTCAGTGAAAATAAGTTACCCTTATGGCATATTTCTGTTGCTTGATTCAGTGTCCTGATATTGTGACCTATCTTAAAGTACAATGGAAGTCTGACTGGTATTAAAGAGTTAACTGAAGGCGACTGCTCCTGGCATTATGGAAGGCTGAAAGAAATTATTTGTAACATAGTGGCCCATTCATTGGGAAATGTTCCTTCTAAGGATTAGGTGTTAATTTGCTACCGGTTGCTGTGAGAAGTTTGGTTATATCTTGGCACCGTAGCTCTGTGATTCTAATACATGTCTTAATGAAACTATCAAAAGTTTTGCTGAAAAACACTCTGTTCACACTGTTGTTCTTCGAAATGTAACTTACCTTGTATTAATTTAGTTTGGGTTTTAGTCTTCTGTAACCCATTTTACAAAGTGAGGGTTAGATGTTCTTGGAAGTTGTCTCTATGGTTTTGTAAGGCACTCTAATTTAGGAAGGTCTAAAAGCTCATAATGATAGTAACAATTCTGCTACTTTTAAAAATGCACTCTATCTTCAGGCTACTGTGCCATGGGAGGTAAGATCCTAATAGCAAAATGCTCTCATCAATTACATGCAAAAACAATTAGATATAGATGCTCAATGCACTTAACACATAACCCATTGTTCTCCAGGAGAATTTAGTGGGGATTTAAGTGGTGCTAGGTTTTACAGATCTTAAGGTAGGATATCTGCTTTTGAGTGCCTTGCAAGTACATCTCAAGACCTTGAAAGAAAGCCAGAATTTTTAGGTGGTGTTATAAATGATATGGAGGTTGAGATGAAGAGAAGTGTGTGTTAAACACAGAGCAGAGGCCTGTGTTCTTGTGCAGTCTTGTTTATGGCAGCCCCTATGTTATGAGACCCTTGAAGGTCCCCTGTCCTTTCTTAGGTCCCTTTTACTGCCCCAAAAGCTCATAAAGTGATAAAACAAGCATGGAACTGGTAGGAAAGAAATGACAGTAGGCAAAAAAGGAAAAAAAAAATGTCCCAAATAACCTTCTCAAGTCATCCTCTTCATGCATAAAGTGAGGGAGGCCAGGCTTGGTAGGCTGGAACCAGGTGGTAGTGGCTCATGACCCCATTGTGTGATGTAGCCGAGCTGGACATCAGGTCAAAGCTAGACCAGAAATTAACTGGATCGGATGAAATCGGAGAAAAAGAAAGGACAAGTCTTCTCTTTCACAAACCAGACCTGAGCCCAAGGGAGTATGGGAGATACCCATATTGCTTCTGGAGCTGTTAGAGTTACATACCAGCTAGCAGAGTCCTTGTTGCCATAGGGGTAAAGGAAGGCCCAGGTGATGGAGGCCACTTGTTGCCTCTCTGTTTTCACATAGCAACCATAATGTATCTCCTTTAAGACTTTTATAATCTTACCAGTTGACTTTAATTCATTTCCTTAACATTCATCTAGAAGTATCATCATATCTTTGCAGTTTGGGATGTAATCTGCAAAATGGAAGCACTATGAAATTAAATTAAAGCACTCTTTAATGCCTACAGTTACCAGGGTATCCACTGTCAATGGGAATTTCTATGGTGTTTAAACTGAATTTCAGATGTCAGTTGATTGAGGAAAGTTAAAAAATCTGCCACAGTTTGAAGAAAATGAAAAATAAATGACTATTCAAAGTGGATGCAAGCTCTCTGGTCAATTTGGGTGTAATAACAAGGGGAAAATTATCTGCTGAAAAATAAATTTTTGGATATGTTAAAAAATTTAAATAAGGCCTTCTTCCAAAGTCCATTTACTTCCATAGAACTCTTTTCACTGACTTCAGTGGGTATTGGATCAGGGCCTAAATTACCATCTTGTAAAGGTGGAAAGTTTGCAGTGCATTCTAACAGTACTGTATTCAAAAGCATGTGTATATATGTCTTACACCCCACTTTTTAAATTATAGGAATTTTGAGAAAAGCTTGCTGCAGTAATATTGAACTGAAAATAATCTGGAAACTCTTCAGAAATACTAGTACAAGAAGTAAAGAGTCCATTAATAATTGTATGTGTGAACTAGATGCCAGTTCAGAAGGTGATAATACGATGTTGATCATCTCAGATGCTGCAAGCCTTAGTCATCTGAAAGAAACTTTGGCAGTTTATCAGATGCCAGTGAAAAGTGAAGGTAAATCTTACTGATTACTGATAAATACCACCTAACATTTGTCAAGTCCTTTAGCTTTAACTTTACAACACATTGGTTTCTTTCATTTTCTGCAGAAGCTTTTGATTTTAGTATTGTTTTATCTCTTGATCTGTGAAATCTCCTATGGAGTGGACCAATGCGAGTCTCTTGCCCCAGTACTTCTTAATCTCCAAAGTAGCACCATAGAGGTTTTGCAGATATGAGAGTGTTCAAAGCTGTTCTAAAGCTTTGTTATAATTGTTTCCTCATTAGGAAATTTCCTCCTTGTAAGGGACATTGAATACCATGTTACAAATCATGCATTCTACCTGTTTACTTTTCTTGAGTGTAATTGCTGCAAAGACTGTTCTTGTCAGAAAGTCTTGGTATTGACTTTTGCCCACCTTTTGATCAATAATTCTGACTTTATTTTTTTTGTGTGATCTTCATCTCTTAGCTTCACTACATCTTTGTTGATGAAGTATTTTGGCTAACAATGCTTTGTTGCCACAGTGTGGTGGTTGAATCTGAATTATTCTGTAACTTCCACACCTTTGCATTGCTCTACTTAAATTTCTGTAAGTTTGAAGGAAGTCTGATACCCAGCCATTCCTTACTGGATATGAATGAAATGCTCTGGCCATTTGCTTTCTCCTTCAAGGATATCATTATGTTTCATAACTTGTTGAAAGGAATATTTTGCTTCTTAAAGCAAATTATTTTTTTTCTTACATGAAAATATCAGATCTGTCAATGATCTGGTATTTTTGTGTCCTCTCTCCAAGGGCTGTGAATGTTTCTGAAAATCCTAGGAAAGCTTTGAAAGGTGAAATGAGCGTAGAAGCAATACTACCATGCTGCAGTGGAAGCTTACTGTCCAAGGCACAGCCTTTGGCTAGAAAGCAGATAAACAGCAAAACCATGTGGGTCAGTGGGTTTTTTCAGGAGTCTGGAAATACAGAAGTTGGCAAATCGGATATTGACAGTGGTACTTGGCCAAGAAAATATATACACTTATTTTCTCATAACCGGGGCATTTGCAGGACTTTTACAGCTCTTGCCTTTGGCCTTTTAGGAAATTGATAGTAAGATTTTTCCTTTGAGATGCTGTCTTGTTCAGCCATCACACTGAGAGGGAAAATTGGTTGATACATAAAAGGAGTGCCACACACAATTACTGTTGACTGGAAGCAAGCAAAACTCCACTGAGGTCTGCTGAGCTCTCTATATTTAACACTGAGGGTGCATACCAGTTTCCCCTCCACTCCAAATTTCTCATGTCTTACGTAGTATTCTGATCAGAAAAAAAAGATAAGGATAATGAGAACAGAATCATTTATACTTCCTATAACAAATTACAGTCCATGAATTGGAGGTGTATACCCCACTGGTATATGGAGGCATATACCAGTGGCTGAAGCAGGACTCTGCAGAAATAATGTGTTCAATATGAAATGATTTCAGGTGTCAAGACATGAAACGTGTAATCCTTTAGCAGCATTCGGGTGGCAGAGACCAGAAGTACGGTTCTTACTTTTGTTCATATGTTGGCAAGTCTGGTGTTAGGATGGCATAGTTAATAGTAAGTGGATTTTGGCACAAGGACTCTAATTTAGAAGTTGCTAGGTCTGCAGAGGTTGGTAAGCATTCCTTACCATGTTACTTTCTTGGTAAATAAGAACATTACATTTCAAAATGTGAAGTGCAACTTGTGATCTTTTATCTGTTTAAAAATATCTCTTGATGCCTATATAAAGTACTTTTTCTTTCCTTTTGAAAGACTTGAATGCCAGTTTATCTTTAAATGCTGTTTGGAATGAGAAGGAATATTCTCTGACGAGTTACTTACAATGCAGGAGCTGTGTCATTCAGTCGATTTCTCCATGTCCTTTGATAGGAGCTGAGGTTATTCATTTCAATAATAAAGTACAGTCTTGGGTAAGTCAAATTAGTTTACTTTGTACATTAAAATGGTTACTGAATTATTTGTATCTTAAATATTAAAATACTATTTTTTTAAAAGCTAGAATGAAAATTTTATCTATATGAATTGTGTATGATTCATCTAATTTCTACCACAGAGATTTGAAATTATAGTTAAGAGCTGGGTTCGGGTCACTTAATGTATTTGTAGTTGTCTGTACCTAATTTGATGCAATGCCTATATTGAAAGGGATAGGAAAATAGGCAGCAGCTATGCATGTCTTTCATGAAAGGAATACGAGAACAATACCTATTTACACAAATTATATAGTCAGACTTGAACTTTCAGACATGTAGTTTTATATTATTTCTGGCACTAAAAAAATATTAATCAGACCCTGATGGATGAACATGGACAAGGTCTAAAGGAGTCAACAGCAAGAAATATATTTATAGGTATTGTATTTCCAGTAATTTTTGCAAAGTAGATTCTTGATTGAACTCTGTGAAAGCTATGTGTATTTTTGCTGTACTCTTAGTAATTCCTTAGTTTTAGATAAAGACAGAGGGTGAGGCTCCATCCTGAACGAGCTGTGCAGGTAACCTTAGGACACCTATGCCTTTCCTCAATTTTCCCTCATTTGTACTGTGGATATAAATATAACTGAATTTAATCAGATTTTTGAGACTAAAACTTTGCCAAAAACTGAGTACAATCCTTAAGTTTTGAACTGTGTCCATCATTATCCACTGTACAAGCTATTTGAAATGCACTATACAACAGTGCGATGATGGGACAAAGTTTATGAAGCATTACTTGCCATGAGAGTTGGAATTTCAGACACTATTACTAAGATTTCATGGTATTCTAGAATTCATTTTGTATCAAAGATAATGAAATATTGAATGAATATATACTAAAATAATAGGAAATAATAGGATCCTCTGTGGTATAATGAAATTATTTGTTTTATCTTCTTAACAGTCTCTTTCTGTACATTTCAAATAAGGGGCTCTGTAACACTGCCAGGAAATCAGCAGCATTATGTTCCACTTTTGTTGCTTTCCGTGGCTGGCTGTGCAAACCAAACACTCATCAGTTTGATTCATACTGCTTGGCTAGGTAGGCAGTTGGAAGGGTGGACTGGCTGTCTTTCATCCCAGGTGCATCAGGCAGAAATGTGTAATCAGCTGGTATTGGGTTTAAAGTGTTGTGCTTTTATTAGTTTAAAACAAACAAGTGTTATGTTCTTAGCCTACTTGCAGATTAACTTCTTCTGTTTCTTTAAGCTAGAAAGACACTGTGAATTGTTTCAGGTTTCCTGAAGAAGTGTCTTCCTTTCCTATTCTTTTCTTGTATTCTGTTTATATCCACTAGGAAGAAATCTCAGTAAACTTCTAGGCCTGGAAGAGCAATGAGGCAACAAGGCCACATCTGGCTTTGGAGAGCAGTTCTGAAAGCTAATGGCTTTCAGTAGAGATACCTAATCTGTTAATGCATGTCTGTTTCAGAGACAGGCTTGGGGAAAAACATATCCCATCATCTTAAATAGACCCTTGAAACAATTGTCAGAACTGGCATCTTTGATTCAGATCTGTTGCAAACTGTGTGCCTTATGTCTAGATTAATATGCCAGATGACTTGAATGTAAGAGTTGTGGGGATGAGGAAGGAAGCTACTCTTATTTTTTTTTGTGTGTGTGAAGATAATGTTACTTAGGAAGGTAGAATGGACTGAGGAGGAATGATGGTAGAGGCAAATACAGCTTTAATTTTATCACCTCCTTGCTTTATGTCAAATGGCTGTTGTTTTCTTATAATTGGGAATGTATGAATGCAAATGAAGAGATATAGAATGAGTCAAAGGAGTTTAAAATTATGATTTATTATATGCTATCATATGTCAGAGCAAACACATATGTATTAAAGTGAAGAAGCTGTGATTAAGTCAGTTTTAGCTCCCAGTTACATTCTTGAATACAAGACCCTGCTGTTGTTGAGCAATATATTTGTAGAGATAAGATCAGCATTGTAGTTTATAGTGCTGCCTACCCTGTATTAAATCATGTACACTGTCATAAGGTATCATATGTCATCTTAAATTACTTTGTGTCGTGTGCTGTCTGTAAATCAAGTACAGTTAGTTCTGGAAGGCAAGGAATTGTTCCTTTAATAGAAATCATATTGCTATAGCAAAGCAAGCTTAAAATAGAATCATTGGATTTAAGGTCTGTAATTTACTTCTAGATTTGGTAATCATTTAAAGAGGTGACACTATTTTCATGACTGAATTGTAAGGTAAGATTAACAAATCACATTTTGTTTACATTTTAACATACTTTTTATCAGTTATGCATTTACATGAAAAATTAGGGGGTTTTATTTACTGCCTCATTTTTTTACAAATTCGATTACATCATGTAATGTGTTGGCCACTGACCTAGAAACCTCCATTAACGTATTCAGACTTGGTGACATGAGCGGCATATAAACCAGTATTATTTTTATATATTCCTTAAAATACTCTAAATAATTTTATATTCCTATCTGCAGTCATTTTTGTGAAGTGGTGACCACTTGAGAGAAGAGAGCGCTTGGCTACTTAGAGAAAATGTTTTGGTACCGTAAACGTGGAGGACTGGGGGTGCTGTAAGATCTAGCTTAGCTAATGTAATAAATTGTCTTTCAAATGTTAAAAGGTGAACGAAACTGACAATTAAATTTTTAAACTTATTAAGGAGTTGTTGCTAGAACTGATTAGGCAGTCAGCTGTTGAGACAGTAGCTTTTATATAACAGGATATTGTTTTGCTCATCACGTTACCACATTTGGCAAACTTTTATCTTAATGCGCCTATCGGGAATACCAGTCTGACCTCAATCTGAGTAAAGCCTTAATAGTCGACGTGAGGGATGCTTGCAGGAGGTGGCACGGTCATTCTCGCAGACTGTATATTTGTTATCGCATGTTAATCAGATTCATCATTCTGTTTAATAAAGATTTCATCTGCCACGCGAATGCATAATCGGCTATGTCTGAGTGACCGTCTTTTGTCTTGAGCAGATTGCTAAAACTGTATTAAGCATCATTAGACAAAAATGACGACCTTATTAATTTGTCCTTTATGTGTTTTCCAGCAGATTGGACCTCATTATTATGCAAACACAGTACACAGAGCGGCACCAGAAGTAGCTCATTAATGTTTCTTTCCCTTAGTAGGTAACAGATTATTATTGTGAAGTGTGCATGAAATAATTGCTAATTATGTGCCTGAAACTGTACAGTGATTGTCTGTCTAGATTTTTTTCATATGGTCTAAGAGCACTGTAGAAGGCCATCAGGAGTTCCCAGGTTAACAGTACCAAAGTAAGGAAACCAGAGGAAGTGAATCACAAACCATGCATTTTATCACACATTTTCCTGCCTGTAAAGAGTAAGTAGGACAGCTATGGGTTGCTTTGTAGTTACCTCTCACTACGCTTCTTATTGTGAAAGATATGACTCTCAGCTGGCAAGTAATTTAATGGATATGTCCATTAAGGAATAGATGCAGGCAAGTTTGAACTGTGGGCTTCTAGTAAAAAACCTGTAGATTTTGAAATGGTAATTCCTGAGTTAATGTGGGTTCCTTATTTAAACACCACTAAAATCTTACATATTTGCAAATACTGTTCTTTCTACCGTGTGCTTTCCCAGCTACATTTGCGTTTCTTACAGGCTCTATATTCAGTATAATTCTCCTTAAGATTTGTAAGCGTGACAGAAATTACATGTTAGGATTTGGCATTCATCTGTAGCTTGACAACTTTGTGCTAAGGGTGTAATTGGTTTAAGCTGGTAGCGCTTCATACTTATCCGTGGCGCATCTTCTGTAATCTGTCTGCCACTGTGGCTGATAAGACTTGGCCACAACTGAAGTTTTTGCAGTGTTAGAAATAAAATCCTGATCCATTAAGGGTTTGCATGGATTTAGCTTTGTAATCTGGTTTAGAAATTGTGAGTGGTCAGATCTTGCATACAAGCTGTGCTGTCAAAAAGATGCCGTGAAAACCATAACATCAGCTTAAATTTTCTTAACGTTACTTTTGTTGACAGTATAGCCTAAATGATATAGTGACTATTTCTCAAGAAAAGTGTTTGTGAGTGGCAATTGTTTATTATATATTAACATTGAAACAGATATCTTTGCGAATTAGTAGGAGAATAACATTCATATAAGGTCCCCTCCAACCCAAACCATTCTGTGATTCTAGCTGACATTACTTACATCAGGTAATTTGAGTCTAACTGCATTTGGTTGGTGTTAAATAGTTGCTTATGTCAGCTAATACCATCATTTAAATATGGTGGTGGCTTCATAAAACGCAAGTTAAAATATTATATGCTAGCTGTAAAATATTCTTTAAACATTTCACATGCAATAGATCATTAGTTAGTGTATGTGAAGGACAGACATATCTTACACTTCTGAAAAATCAATGTGAAATTGTCTGCAGTGACCAAATTCCCTTTCCTGCACTGTTAGCTGCTGGGCAAATGGATATTTGCTTGCTAAAACACTTGAATGATACAAATACAAAATAGTTGGTTAGGCTTTGAAGAAATAATTATTTCTTTTATTTTACTTGGATTATTTAAAATGACAGGGAATATATAGCTCTGAACAGGCACAGGGATGCTATTAATTACAGAGGTTCTGCAACCATGATTGTCACCATTTGTAATAAATGCTTTCTGAACTTGTAGTGATAATATTGCATACACTGATAAGTATGTTTAAATACAGTACAAGTGCCTATAAAGGCAATCTTTTCTGTAAAAGCATGCATACAATTTGCAGCTAATTGTTGAATTGAGCTGAAAAGGGTTTGTATCTGCAGTACTTTGACACTGCAAGTCTGCTTCACAAATTGTACTTCTCATTTCCTATGAAACGACATTCTCTGCTTTGCACTTTTTCCCTCCCAGCTACTTTGAGCTTAATAATCTGTTTAGTTACCAGTTTTAATCCATTA